ATGCATTAGTCCGGCACCGCAAGAGAAAGAACGTCGGAAAAGTTTCGCGGGAGAGAGTGGGAAAGAGAGTGGGCGAGAAAAGGAACGGTCTTTCTCCTGACACTCACATTATTTCCACCAGCCGCACGCGTTTCCGCGCGTTATCTTCGCCTTTCCGCGCCACGAAGACAGCGACGGTGCTGCAGCCGCTTCGTGACATCCGCGCGTTTTACTGTAAATTGATTTCTCGTCATCTCCCACCGCGGGGGGAAATAAGGCGGAATGACCGCGAGAATAAATGGCACGAATGAAGTAGAGACGAGAAAAGTCCAAGTTTTATTTTCTTTCGATATTTTTTTTTTTTTTTTCTTGTTTTTCTGATGAGATCAAGACGGTGGGAAAGGAAGAGTGGGAAGAGAATGTAAAGCCTTCCTTCACGCTTATCTCAGAATAAATATTTATTCTATCTCTTCGCGCCTCGCATGATATAATTTTATCTCAGTGTGATAAATATCTGTTAATGAAATTTTTCGACGGTACAGCTGTTGATGAACTCCTTTAAAACTACGAACGCGAATGTGATTCAGCTTTGAGTACGAAACTCGCGCGCAATATCGTAAGCTGCAGAACGCGAGAATAAAGAAGAACGATTGCTCGAAGGTGAAGTTATAAGCCGGATCTCCGGAACGAAGTTGCCGGTAATAATCTTTATCTGCGATAAAAGAAATTGATCTTACAGTGAAAGCGCCGGTAGAAACGGCGAAGTAAACCCATGGTCGAGAGCTATATCTCGCCGTGCGTAATCTCGGCTTTACTGTCTTAGGTAAATCGTATTCCCGAATTCCCCGTACAACATAACAGAGCTGCGGAAGCCTTTACTGCCAGTTTCGGTACGGTTTTTCAAAGTTTTTATATACGATCAACAAAATCAGGCGCGAGTTAATTATTCTCTTTTCAATTAATGAAATTAAATTAGAACCGATAAAATTTTAGAATTATTAAATTACGAAAAATCCATAAAATTAAAAGTTTAAAATTTAAAAGGAATAGTTTTTTTTTACATCGGAATACAGTGATATATATAAAATTGATTGCGTATTTAAAATGTTTTTACGTTATATAATATACGTAGCGTTAAAACAGAAGTGATAGTTTTATGCGGTCAAACTATCATTGAGATAAATTATATCCTCTATTGTGTTACGCTAATAATTTATTCATACGATAATCAACGCCGCGAGAGGAGGAAAACGTTGGTCGCCGCTCTCGGCTGTATTTAGTCAAACGCAGTATTTAACAAAGCTCTTTCATAAATAATCGCATTTTGTTATATTTTGTTGCGTATATATGTTAATATCAGTTACGCATTAGTAAACTGCATTACTTGATAATAAATGTGACATCTTCATTGTTCACTCGCGGCGCCTCAATTATTTCTGCAGCTGTACAAATAATCGCGAGATCGCGCGGAAACGCATAGTACGAAGGTTCGAGAGCGCGCGGGGGGGGGGTGTGAGCGGGGAGAAGTCTTAATTTCCTCTGCAACGCCGAGCCTCCGCCTCGACCGTTTTTTAAGTCTGACGCGTGCTGGCCTTTTAAAAGGGCCTTTCTTCCAGCTGTTTAGGTTATTATAAGGACCGAAGGCACACAGGGACGAGCCACCGTCGAAAGGGTGACCATCCGCTCCGGCCATTTCCTAGCAATTTCCTGACGCTGTTTTTCACGTGAACTTTTGAACTCGTTCCCCCACAGGGTACCTTTTCACTGTAAAATATCTGCTAAGTAGCCGCGGCAGGACTAGCCGGTTATAAATGGCCGCGTGCAAATACCGCGGGTTTTGTGTCCAGATGCGTCCGGTATATTTAATGTCCCCTGGACGCCGGTCATCGTCGATGACCGCACGACGAAAATGTCCTTTGCAGAATTAATGGCCTGTCGCGATGTCGATGGCCAAAAATTGACTTCCAGATTTCCTTCCCGTCTTTATCGGCGACAACCCCCTCCCCTCCCCCCCCCAATACTAATATTTACGTTGTTCCAGTATAAAAAAGTAATGTGACCGCTTTTATAGACAATTTCAATCTTATTGGACGTTACGAATTAACGCGAACACATGTTTAAATAAACGACAAAGACTTGCGCGTTTGTCGCTTAACGGCGATCAATGATATTGCGCGTGACTGAGAACAGCACGCGTGTATGCGTAATAGAGACGGATATAACAGAAGTATCGTGAAATAGCCAATCGCTTATTAAGTCTTGCTCTTTTCATCGAACTATTTTAACAATAAGATAATATTCATAAAACTTAATATTCATAAAACAATACAAAGACATTGATGAACTAAAATGCAATATTTAAGCAACTTGTATGTATTGTATAAGAGATGAATTCTAAGAATTCCATGTCTTCTTAGACGCACTTCAATGTTAATCGCAATATAGCGCGACACAATTCTTCGAGAATAAATCTTCTCTTCGGAGATAAATTTATATACTTTATTTGTGATGCGGTAATAATTATTAGTTAATAACATATTTTATTATAAAATAGAAGTTAATGGTAACTGATTGATTCAATTACCACATAATTACAATTTAACTGGCTCGGATGATAAATAAATAATAAATAATTTAAATTTAATTTCAATAAATTCGCGTTATACAGTTGACGTGCAAATAATGATTATTTGTCGTCTCTGCAGACATATAACTCTGTGCGCATGATTCTGTGTGCTACCGTTTACACGATGGTTCAACCTCCCTTCTGCAATTCTACATTTTCAGCGTAAATATCACATTATAAATAGATTGTTTCCGATAAAACATCTATAACAATAACAATTACAAATAAGAAAAAAAGTGTCAAACAACAGATGTGATCATCAAAAATAACATCATTAGTAACATCAAAAGGACATTGCATCTTAGTGTTTCACGAACGTAATGAGGTATTTTTAGATGCTGAAAAATAGGCTGTAAATAAAAATGCTATTTCTAACATCAGTTATTTCTTTGTTGTCGTTTATGTGTGTCTTGACTAGAAAGATAAAAACGAATTTAGTGTTGTTAAGAATTTAATCTCTCGTAAAGGTAATATACAGACAAACCGATTCGTATGTTGACGGGGGGCACTTCCGAATCCTTTCTTAATAGACCAAAATAAAAGGGATCGATACTTAGCGCATTTTAATATCGGTCTGATATCGCGCTGGAAGCCGGATATCCATTTCGGTAGAATTCAAAAGTGACAATTCGTATAGGATAGCCACTGGAACGTTGTATTATTCAACATGAGCAGTTCCGTGAATAATCTATAATGTTTCGAAAACATCAAGAAAAAAGTACGCGTTTCTTAAAAGTACGCGTTTTGTCTTTGTCTAAAAATAATTTAGCGGAAGATGATACGGGCGAAACGACATTGTCGAAAGGTTCAGAAATGGTTTCCGATAGAACGAGACCAAGTTAGTCTTGGCCATACAAGTAGGCTCACGCATACTGACACGCGTGATTATCAGTGCGCGGGATTCATTGGCCCCCGAAGGATAGGGTAGACTATTCACATCAATGCACCCTTGCCGAAGGGTTGCGAAACTTCAAACTTGCATCCCCTTGTATTCGTCCCGCGCCATCAGGAAAAACGACCTTCTCAAGAACTCGATCGAATGTGCGGTGTTTTATTTCAAGGCATCGAACAGCTTACTTTCATATGCATTATTATTGACGTCCTTTGTCACCGTGCTTACATTTAGAAAGGTATAATCTGGAGAAATAATACATTTCTCATGTATTATGTTATTTCTGTGCTCATTATTAGTGCGTCTTTTAAGCTGAAATATCGTCAAAATATATCATTACATTACTTTTTATTTTTTTAACAAAAGCATTTATAATTAATGTATGTATTTTATAAATTAAATTATAATAAATTAACCATCAACATAATGAATAATATTTCTTTTTAAATCATATAATTTTTGCATTCTATTAGAATTTATTAATTCTATATAAAATAAAATAAAAAAGTAGCACATTAATGTTTTATTATCTTACGAAAACAATTTTATATCTTGATACAATGTACTTGGCGTACTTCTGCTTTTGCGAAATCAGTCAATAGATTTCCAGCAACATCCCTCCTACATACAATCTCGTGGGCAATACTTTAACCCCCTTTTAAGCAGGTCGATGGTGCCATCTGTTAGTAAATGCATCAACTAATCAACGTTCACGCATGTGTATTATACGCTTTCAAATAATCTCTAAAAGGAAAAGTCGGTAATGAGGATTCCTAATCGGATCGATGACGAGAGGGTGAACGTATGGAACTCATTTTGCGTAAAGCAAAAATACATAAAAATAATTGCAAAAAATATAAAAAAATATAAAAAAAATAAAATTAAAAAATTGTAAAAATATAAATGAATAATTCCTCAAAAACAAAAAAATTTGAAATACGATCGGGCACCTACGAAACGATCTTTTTTGACGCTGCTTTGTACCGCAGGTTGCATTCTCTAGGCGCTTTTTATTCTTTTTATTCTTTTAATATATTGAGTAATAAATATTTTATTTCAGTATTTCTCAGATCAATTTAATAATAGCGTTTACTATAGTTACACTAGCATAAATGAGAAGATATTTATTACATAACATTTTTTATATTATATTTAACTTTTTAATTACAATATATATAAAAATAAAAAAATACTTTAATGTTATAATATAAATGTAATATCTGTTATATTTTTATTTTTGTAACACAACCTGAATGATGAAACTTTTTATTCATTCTAAAAGGATTCTCATTATAATATCTTCTCCTAAAAATGATATTTAACAAATATTAACGAAATCAAAATTTAAACAAGTATCAATTGCACATTGCACAGAAAAGAGCAGTAATTTTAATGTATCGTTCTATAGAAATATGGACGAAGTGAAACACCTTTTATATAGATTAAATACATAATGTTATATAAAAGTTTAAAGTTAATTGTTAATACATAAGAAAAAACATATTACTAGCTATAGAATGTTTTTATTTAAAATTACATATAGTACAGAAATTATCTTTGTCTTTATATATTATATTTGAAAGAAAAAAAGTATCAGATGTGGTCAGATGAAAAGACGTGGTCAAAGATATAAGAAAGCATCAAACCATATTAGTATGGTGTTTTCGGCGGTTCAGAATGAGGGTCAAGAGGCCTGTTGTCTTCTCCATATGGAGGTGGTAGGTATGTACAAACATTAGCATGTCTCACACATTCCATATAACGACAGCAATCACTATCACGTCTACACTAAAATATTTAAAATATCGAAATGTGTTATTTAACAAGATTTAATAAGATATTAATTAATATTAGCAAATGCTGACATTTAAATAACAGTACCATAATATAATAAGTTAATACGAATAATATGTCAAACATAAAACGCAAATTTATAATTTCTTAATTCTAATTTGATTTCTCTCACTTTTCCTATTTGTTTTTAATTTATAAGAAATTATTTTTTATGTAATATATGTAAGTACGATGGATATACTTACACGCTGACGCAAAGAGACACACTTTTGTTCTGCGTTTCCGGGTTGAAATTCATCTGCGCTTCCAGGGTGAAATACGGTCCCATACGGACCTTTTGGTTCCACGCAAACGTGGGCATGTGGCACACATTCCAAACCATCACAGCAAGGACTATACATACACTAAAATATTTAAAATATTGAAAGATGTATTATTTAATATCAAAGATAATATTAATTAATATTGTGCGAATGCATGTTTTTAAACGATATTGTAATATAATAAGTTAATACGACTTATGTAAAACATAAAGCGTAAATTTATAATTTCTTATTTCTAATTTGATTTCTTTTACTTTTTTTATTTGTTCTTTTTTATTTGCTCTTATAATATGCAAAAAAATTGTCTTTTGTATAATGCTATGTAAATACAATGGATATACTTACTGACTGACTGACAGAGCCACAACCTTGTCCAGCTTGGCTGCCAGCTTGGCAAGCAGCTATGATCATAGCAATCAAAATGAAAATAACGAATCTCATTTTGTTAATATTTCCTGTAATTAATAAATTTCTTTCCTGTAATAATTTCTTATGTTATAATTTAATGCGCGCATTTAATATAACAATGCTTCTATAAAACTCACGATAGTAACTTTATATGATCTGATATATCTATTAAATATATTATAAAAATGTTAAAATTAATAATATAAATAATATAAATATATTTTACTATTGATATGTTATAAATAGTTTTATAAAAATAACTTATTATTGATAAAGACTTTCAGTTTCTTTAGAAAATTTATTGAACTTACAGTTTTCCTTAGTGAGTCGATTGGATAGATTGTACGAAATGATCGTAACTAATTAAAGTTTGATTTCTGAAGAGTATTTATACTCTTTCTCTTCTCTATGTCACACTTGTGTAAATTAAAAGTATCGGTATACCGCTTACACAACATGATACATGAAGGAAAACGTCTGTTTGATAAGGCTATTATGTTATATTCATCTTCTCTTTGAATGATTAATTATAAGCATAAGTAATCCATATTACATTTCGTATGCGTTTTGCGTTTTACTGGCATTAGAAACATCACTCACGCATCATGTTATATTATATATAAGTATAAAATATATCTATTACATTTTTATTTTTACCGCACAACACGGACGGTGAAACTTTTTATTTGTATCATTCAAGGAACATAATGCCTTGGTCCGCAAAAATAATATGGTTTCATCAAATATATTAACTATATATGACGAAATGGAAGTCTTTGTAATTTAAACAATAATGAGTATCGGTGGGATATCAGAGAAGAACAGTAATTTCGGGATAACGTATCGTTCCGCAAAAGCATCGACGAGCAAGTGAGCCACCACCGCCGCCGCCGCCGCCGCCGCCGCCGCCGCCGCCGCCGCCGCCGCAGTCGCGCTTACGTTCGAAAACGCACGTAGGTCCATTACGAAACGATATAATGGTGCAGTCTATTATCTAAACAACGAGAAGCCCAGCAACGGAATCGTGGCGCGGTGCGGTGGGGGTTTTGCCGCGAATGTTATTGATATTCCCGGCGGTCGTCTCGCTTTACGTTGAAATTAGCCGAACGGAGGAAGGCCGCTGCATAACGCTGTCGCGGATACAAACGGGAAACGAAGCCGATGCACTATCGAGTATCGATCATCCGGCCGCTCGAGAGCGGCTCGAGCATCGTGGAAAACGATAGGGCCTCCTCCGTTGCTCTCTCCGTTCGCTTAATATCTTCGCTCAAGATTCGAGCGAAGTGGTTGCGCTCGGTCATCGCCAGCTCATAAAACTCAACTCCGAGCTGCTTCGCGAGAGACGTACTTTCCCCCCCCCCCCGCCCCCTGCGAAGCGATAAAAATGAAGAGACAAGGAGAAAGAGAGAGGGAGAGAGATCGGACGCTGTGGAAAAAAGGCATGTGCTCTAGAAGGAAAATTGCTTTTTGTTAAAGGGAAAATTTACTGTAATTATTACAAACATTACAATAAATTAAATGCAGCTTAAATATTCTAATGCATTATATAGTTTCAGATTTCATGCGAAAAATGTTTCATCGGGAAAAATAAATATCTCCACTCCCCCTCCCCCTCCCCCCCCATTCGTATAAAATATAATTGATTTGTGTCTCTTCCGCAATGATCGATTGGAATATTTCAAATAATGTAGAAAGAGAGCCAAAGCGAAAAGCGGGAATGGTGTAAAGTGTGCGCACTGCGAGTGACCATTGCCAAAGAGCGATCGAGCCTTTTCCGTTGGTCCAATCGATCGGGCTAAAGATTTTCAACTCTTAATTAAGATCGCGAGGGCACTCGAGTTTTCAATTAAAAGAGTAGCGACGTTCCCTTCCCTGTTGTCTCTCTTTGTTTCTCATCGCCGTTCTCTTTTTACTGACTCCATGTCTCCGTTGCCCGCCCTCTCGTTTCCGTATTTTCGTCTCTTTCTCTCACACTCATCACCTCCCCCCCCCCCTCACGTATTTTCCTCGCTTGCGCGTTCTTTTTGCTTCGCCCGCCTGATGCGCTGGCAACATTAAATGCAATTTTGCGCAACGCATCCTCCGAGGGTACTCGGATCCCGATGGTGTCTCCCGATCCACTTTTTCCGTTTTGGCCACTTTTGTGGAGTGCACGCGGTCGTGTCATTTTTGTTTCCGACAACGTTTCCGATTCTTTGTCGGACGATATCGAAAAATATTTGTTGCCTTGTTACCTCGATGCTCGAGATCGCGTGCAATATTCTAGCAGCGGTGCTTCGAGGATTTTCCATTGGCTGCTCTGCTCATGAGCATTGAAATATTCAAGCAACCACTTCATACTGTTTCTAAATTCTTGAATATCGAAAATCTGTGTTTCTATTTTTAATTCTTGCTATTTTTGACCTAATGGAATTGGAATAATAAAAAGATATGACGTGCACAGCGCGTTTAGCCAGGAGCCGTTCGCGGCACGTAAGAAACATGGAATTTCTCACGAGGGACGTTGTTTGCTTCGGGGATAATCGCTTTTGGGGAAAAAGGAAAACGGGGGAAAAGCGAGCGCGTGATCGCGGGATGGGGGGGGTGGTATTTTGGCGGTCATCCCCGTCGGTGTGTCGATGCGAGTTGCGAACGAAGGGTAAAGGTAACCCTCTCGCGCCCCCAATGCC